ATGACCTGTTAAAATCAAACTAATCCTCATTGGGAGACAAAAGCCCTACTTCCCACACGTGACACGTGACTTGCACCTCGCTAAGCCGGCGAACTAAAAAAATCCACAATACGGACTCCTTCGACGACAATCTCACAAATCGACAACACCCGCGCTACCGTCTTGACCGCGCCGCCTCCGTCAAGATGAAGCTCAACATCTCCTACCCGGCCAATGGGTCCCAGAAAATTATCGAGATCGACGATGAGCGCAAGCTCCGTCCCTTCATGGAGAAGCGCATGGGCAGCGAAGTCAGCACTCCCTTAACCTTCATCCTTCCCGACTGTCCGACAATCCAACCGATGAACAACATACACACATACGACTATAGAGAACGACTGGCTAATTGGGATTTTGATTAGGTTGCCGGCGATGCTCTCGGTGATGAGTTCAGCGGTTACGTGTTCAAGATTACCGGTGGTAACGACAAGCAGGGTACGCATACAATCCTCTATTCCCAGTTTCGGAACAACAACTCGATGGTGGAGAATGGAATTTAAACGCACAATGAGAAACAAAGATGCTGACGACTTTAATTTTACAGGTTTCCCCATGAAGCAGGGTGGTACGTACACAGCCGCACAACAACCTGGGGAATGATCAAAAAAATTATATCCAACCCCAGGGATACAACCAACAAACTGCAGGATACTCATCGAATGATTTCTACAGTTCTCCTCCCCACCCGTACCCGTCTCCTCCTTGCCGACGGCCACAGCTGCTACCGTCCCCGCCGCACCGGTGAGCGCAAGCGCAAGTCCGTCCGTGGTGCCATCACCGGTCTGGACCTTGCCGTCCTTGCTCTGTCCATCGTGAAGCAGGGCGAGGGTGAGCTCCCCGGTCTCACCGACACCGTTGTCCCCAAGCGTCTCGGCCCCAAGCGTGCCACCAAGATCCGTCGCTTCTTCGGTCTCGACAAGAAGGACGACGTCCGCAAGTTCGTCATCCGCCGTACCGTCACCAAGGAGGGCAAGAAGGATTACACCAAGGCCCCCAAGATCCAGCGTCTGGTTACCCCCCAGCGTCTCCAGCGCAAGCGCCAACGCGTTGCTATCAAGCGCCGCCGTGCTGAGACTGCCCGTGATGCTGCGTAAGACTCTCCCTCTGTTGTTGTTTTTTTCCCTGTGCTCTGATCGATGGTCTACGGGTGTATTGGTTTGATTGTGGATGTTAAACTAACGGTTACATAGTAACGACTACGCCAAGGTCCTTGCCGGCCGTGTCCACGAGGAGAAGGCCAAGCGTGATGAGCTCCGCAAGCGGAGGGCTTCCTCCATGCGGAAGTAAACTTCCAGACCCGCGGTTTTATGATTTCGTTCTGCGGCGATGGGGTTTAATGGAGGAGCTTCACGTCTCTGGGATGATTTGAGGGGAATTCACAAAAAATGAATCACTCTCAGGGGCGCGGAGGATACATGTGTGATAAAAAGAAAAGGGAACAAGAAAAAGAGACGGGGAACAGGTTTCAAAACGTACAAAGCAGGCTGAGTGGTTGATACTCCCTTGTGTTTGGCTACGGTGATTTCGGGCCTTGGGAGTCGCAATGCATATCTGTGTTGAACCTACCTTTTTTTTGATGACCCTTTTTTTTTGAATGGAGTGCATGCAAATTTCAATACTCAGTTCTGTTAATTGCTCGAGTCTTTTTCAAGGAGTAGGCGTAGTTATCTTGGGTATGGAGTAGTATATTGTATATTTTGATTTATCCCCCTCTTTTGTGGGCTTCTAGTCTACTCCACTTGAATGAAGTCACTTACACTAGTTAACTAACTAGTCAATAATGTGATTACCTTAAATTACCCCCGCCTCCAGTCTCGATTTCCCCCAAGGTCAGTATGGGCCGGTCACGTGCTGTGTACAGTCTCAAAGGAGTATGCAAAGGCATTCGGAATTATGTTTTTCAAGGGTACTACTGCAATTTGCGGTCAATGGTACGTATTTGGAGCAGAGGTATTACAAGGACATCCTCTATGGGGTGTGTTTCCGTTCATCTGCGCGGCCAGTAGTGCCCAAGCCGCATGTATTCTTCTGTAGTCCTGTATATATTAGGACACCAACATATCAAAATTAAAACAGCCAAGTCAACAACAGAGTGATAGCAGCATACGCTGAATATAAAAAGCACCGCGTCTAATTGAATGTTGTAGACCAGCCCCCAGGCCTTGTAAAAGTCTAAACCAAATATCAAGTACTCTGCATATGGAAAGCACATGCACGATGCAACCCAACCCAGCCAAGATAACCAACTTCCGCCAGAGAGAACAGCGTAAAGCCAACATTTAAACGTTGGTCTCTCTCTTCAAAAGAGGAATATAGTAAACAGTAGTAAAACAACCGGGACTAAAGTCCTCGTCCGGCTAATAAAAAGGGTCATAAAAATCGTATTTTTTTTTGTTTCCCGCTCACTCCACGGTTTCGCGCCACCACAGTAGGTAATCACTAGGACAACCTGTAGATTTGATCCTCTGTCTTGATGTAATAATTCATCCCCGTTTCTGATTTACCCCACGGTGTGCGAAAACAAGAAGCTAACTGACTCGCCGTTGTGAGTACGACGGCATGCCTCTGCCAATGTAGGGCTAATATCAATCGTGTGGATCTTGTCACAACGCTCTTGCTTGTCGCCCAATGGGACAGTGTTGCTGACGATAATGCTGCGATAGAGTTAGTCGAAAGTGACCCGAAAAGCCTAAATCATCCAAGAGTGCAATGAGTCGTTGCTGGTATTCGGGCGTGTACATACCGCTTGAGGCAGCTGCCGTTGAGGTTCTCGATCGCCTTGCCGGACAGAATACCGTGCACAACAATGGCGTTGACCTCGGTGGCACCGTGCTGCATGACAGTGTCGGCAGCCTTGGCGAGCGTGCCGCAGGTGTCGGCCATATCGTCGACGATGATAGCGACCTTGTCCTTGACATTACCGACAAGGACCATGCGGGAGACCTCGTTGGGGCGGGCACGTTCCTTGTGAATGAGCGCGAATTGCAAGTCCAGGCGATCAGCAATGGCAGTAGCACTAACAGTAATCCAAATTAGCCCTTGGACAACCCCAGTATACAGATGTGTGCGGGATAGGGCAAAACTCACCGCTTGGCACCGCCAGCATCAGGGCTGACGATGACACAGTTGGCGACGTCGAGGTTCTCACGGATATACTTGAGCATGCTGGGCTCGGCGTACAGGTTGTCGACGGGGACGTTGAAGAAGCCCTGGATCTGGCTGGCGTGTAGGTCCATGGTGATGACATGGTTGCAGCCGGCGGTCTGGAGCATGTTCGCCATGAGCTTGGCGGTGATCGGAGCACGACTCTTGTCCTTCTTATCTTGGCGGGCATAAGGGAAGTTGGGGATGACGGCTGTGATACGGCGGGCTGAGGCGGTCTTGCAAGCGTTGATCATGATCAGGAGCTCCATGAGTCCATCGTTGATATCATTGGGTTTCGTCGATTGGAGAATGAAGACTGCAACAAGTCATATATATAAGTGGGGTTTGATATCGCGATTAAGGTGGGATGCTCATACCATCTTCGTCCCGGACGCTCTCTCCGATTGTGACACTGGTTTCTTGGTTTGAGTACTGAAGGACCATAATCTTGGTCAGCTCAATGCCGAGCCTGATTCATAGATAATTAGCGGGTGGCCCAGTTTTGACCTCGTCGGTTGCACATACCGGTCGGCAACTAGGTTGGCAAGCTCCGGATGGCTGTTGCCAGTCAAGAGCTTAATTGAGTTGGTCGACATGATGCAGGGCTTTGTAAAATGGTAAGAAGAGAGAGATTCAAATTAAAGGAGCTCAAAACACACTCTTCTCCAAGATGACCTTGTTCGGCTCAAAAAATCGATTTTCCTCCGCGGCCCCGCATGTCCTTTTTTCTATGCAGTCCCGTGACGGGCTCACCGCCCGATGACATAAGCACATCGCCAAGCCCTGGAGCCCTGGGGGATCTACCTTGGTGTAGGTCAGAGCTGCATATGAAATTCTACTTGTAATGACTAGTAAAGAAGTACGTAGGGGATTTGAAGGGAAAAAAGAAAATAAATGCAGCAATCTAAGTACATAAAGAGGGCTCTGGAAAGAACGCGGTTGACCTGCACTTCAACCGAATCCCTTACCAGGTGCCTCAGTTTTTCATCTTCTCATAAAGAAACCTCTCCTCGCTGGCCCATGCCAGCCTTCCATACTTTTCTCATTCTTCCCCGATAAAAAGAAAATCCCGAAAGAATCGAGAGAAACGCCAGAGAATGCTTTGGCTTGATGAGACCATCCCCATGCCGTAGAATAGGACAGCAGTCTAGGCAAACCCGAAGTACTCGCTGCCAGTCGTCACGGCGGTGTAAAGACGCTGACGGAGATCTTCGTAACTTTCATACTCAGGAAGATCAAGCTCTGTTAAGGATAGTTAGTAAATTGCGGTAATGCAGCCAAGAAATGCGGAGAAAAACTTACGGTTGAAACATGTATGCGAGCTGGGAAGGCGATCCTTATGGCCATAGTCGCGATGGATGTTGAACTTGCTCACACCGTTCATACCCTCAAGTTCTTTGAAGCCATTTAGGGGAACCTTACTGGTTCCAGTGACGAACTGCAAAAGCTTGGCACGTTCCTCCTTGTCGAATGAGCGGACGGCACGCCAGAACCACTGGATCTGTGAGGAGGACGCGGAGTAGTTGTGATACTCGGTGTTGTTCTTCCACTCGTCCACATCGATCTCAGGAAGACCAGAAATCAAAAGTTCCAGCTCTTGCTCGTTGAAAATGGAGATCAACTCGGGAGGAATGATTTCGTGGAAACCCTTGAGGAAATTGTCCAGTTGCTCGCGAACAGACTCGACGAGGCGATATTCGACAACGCGCTGAACGTACTCCTCCTTGTTCTCCTGTGTAACGGGAATGTCGCGACCGCCGGGCTTCAGGTCGATGACCTGCTTCTCGCCAAAGTCATCGGTTTCAATGGCAAATGTCTCAGTAATGATATCGGTAATGTCGTTCTCCAGCATCCACAGAAGTGATTTGTAGTAGTCCAGGTCGAGCGTTTCCATGTCCTTGATAGACACAGATCGTCCGAGGATATTCTTGTAAACTGCTCGGCTGAAGTGGCAGTCAAGAACACGGCCTTCGTACAAGGCCTTGCCAATGATCCGCCCGATGAATTTGAAGAACATGAGATGTTCCGAGTTGACGCCACTAAGGCGATTCGGATGGAAGGTAGTCCGATCAGCGGCGACAGGGATGAACAAAGCGTAGTTGGGGTTGAACATGCCGCGGGCAAGAACCTGGAACCATTCTCTGGTGACACCACCAGCATCGACACCCTCCTCGCCGTGGAATCGTACGTTCAATTTGCCATACTTCAACTCATCTGCGCTCTTGAAGTACAAGGACTTGAAAGAGTCAAGGAAAACCTCAGATCTGCGCACAGACAGCTGAAGAGGAGGATGAGGGTGGCGAGGCTCGGCACCCCGGGAGTGGACACGACGAGTAAAGTAGTTGCGCTTGTTGTCGAATTCCAAGACCTTGGGGTTCTTTACCAATAAGGAGAATGTGCCGCTCATCAGGCGAGGGTTCTGGCGGACAAGCTCATTGAGAATTTTGCGATGCTCTTCGGTAAACCTGAAGAAGATGTTCTCCATGCTGAGACCAGCATCAGCTGGGGCGCTGCTGTTGACTGACAATTCACGGCTGCCGCGAGACAGCGGCTGGTCCTTCAGCGTGGTGTTCTTGCAGACGACCATCAATGCCTCAATGAGAGGGAGGAGAACAGTAGCCACGTTCAGCATGTTTTCCTTCTGCCGAATGGCAGTCAAGCAGTCGCTCAGCTTGCTCCAAAGCGGGCCGAAAGTAGCGCTTTCATAGAGTTTCTTGAGCACATCCTCCTTTGGAGCGGATCCAGGCTCAATATCTTTGGACTTGTCCGCTCGTGCCTGGTCAAACAGATAATCAAGCGCGGTCAGGATACGTAGCAACTTCGCCTGGTCTGAGCTAGCTGGGGAGAACTTGGCTAGAGCAAGGCCTTGCATGTCGGTGCCAGTCCTGGCCTGGTGGATATGAGGGAGAAGGTCCTCCAAATCACCCAGGATGGTATCGCTAAGGGACCGCGCTTGAGCAACCAATTCATTGCCGATCACGTCTCTAGCTCCAGGAATAGCGGAAAGATTGTTGATGGTGGAAAGTGTGTCGCGGAATGTCTTGCCATTGCACTCACGAGCGGCAAGGATGTGGACAACCAGTCGGAAGTTGTGATCCGGAACGACAGGAGGCTCGATGGTTCGCTTCTTGCGCTTCTCGTCCCCGGTGGGCTCCTTGGAGACTTCAGATTTCTTGGCTTCAACTGAAGTAGCCTCTTCACCCTCTGCGGTCTCTTCCCCAAGGGCTCCAAGGGTTTCCACAGTGGGCAGGGGAGCATCGGTCATGGATGTGTCCAGACTGGAATCGGCAGCCTCGGCAGGTTGATCGGCAGCTTCGATTTGAGGTCTCTCGGGCTTCTTGCCCTTGCCCTCCTCCTGTCGCTCCTTCTCACGACGAAGGAGAACAGTCAATGGCTGTGTGATGCTGCTAAGGAGGCTGGAAAGTTGCTCCATACAATTAGGGCTTTCCATTATTAACTTGCGGTCAAGGAGAGAAAGCAGGGCATTCAGAGCGAACTTGTTAGCTCGATTTTCTTTGCCTTTGCCCTTGCGCAATGACTTGAGTTTACCAGCCGAGGCAGAGTCATGCTCCGTCAGGAAGAACCAAGCAATGTGAGGGTTGAACTGCGAAAGGAAAGACAGCGTGGCGATACATTGTTGGATGACCATAATTGGGGTCACTTCGCTGCTGACGCTCGAAGCAGTTTGGAGAGCGAGGGTTCGCTTAGACTGCGGCGTCTTCTGTACTCCTGGTGCCTTTGCACGCAGAGAAAGATGAGAAAAGCTGCGTTCAATCGCAGTGGAATCAACGCTGCCATCCTGCAAAATCGAAAGAAGAACGCTGATCACCTCACTCCGGTTCTGGCGGTTCTCGCAAACATTGTGAAGAATATCATTCAATTGATGGCGAGCGTTGCCCTGGAGAGGCATAAACATCAGGCGTAGAAGGGTTGCAACGCCAGCCTTGTCGAGCATTTGAACAATTTGGCGTCTCTGTTCTTTCTTCGGCTCTTGGCCTGCAGCAGGCTCAATTCTCTGTCGGTGATCAATGGCACTCATGTCACCAAACTGGGCCATGCGTCGGCCGCTGCCACCCATACCACGGGCCTCGGTCACGTACTCTGGACCCAAGGTTGCGAGAACATCCTCGGGCTGATCGGCCAAAACAGCCTGACGCAAAGAGGGATCGAGAGTGGCAAGGAAGCTGACAGCATCCATTTCTTCCGCCGGTTGAGTGCTAGAAGCTGTAGCGCCAGCACCACCAGCAGCGGCGGCCTGCCGTCGCGCGGTCTCACGTTCCCGCCGGCGTCGATCGGCCGCTTCTTGTTGCAGCAATTCTTCGCGTATCTCAGCAGGCAAGGCCTCAAGGAATTCTTGGTTTATCTCAGTATCCTCCTCACCCGCGGCGGCAGCCTGGGACCGATGTTCAGCAAGCTGTTGCATAATGACTTCCTCCCGAAGTTCCTCAGGCAGAGCCTCCAGATATTCTGAATCGATCTCCAGACCTGTGATATCAACTTGACGGCCCCTGATGTTCGTGTAGACTCGACGAGCAGGTTCAGTGGGCTGGGCTTCGGGTTGAGACGGGCCAGCGGTTTCAACCGCAGTGACAGTTTCTTGGACGTCTTCCATGGGCTCATCGACCCCAGCAGCTTGACGCTCGGCTTCCTGCTGTTCTTTCTCTGCCTGTAGTCGGGCGCTTTCTTCCTCCTCCTTTTGCTTAAGCTCGCGCTGCTTTTCTTCGGCGGCAATGCGATCTTGGCGTTCTTTTTCAGCCCTTTCGGCTTCAAGACGTTTGCGTTCCTCTTCCGCGAGCTTCTTGCGCTGCTTCTCCTCTTCAATGGCAGGGGGAACCAAGAGCCTCAGAATGGAGTTGATGACGCGCTGGGCCCGCTCAGACCACTGGCTGCCGAAAATAATGCGGGACTCTTCTTGCCAGCGGTTTCTGGTGGTACCAAGACCAAACTTGACGGCAGTCTGAGGGTCATCGCCGCGAGTGCGAGTTGGAGGGCCTGCTCCTCGGGGGATTCCAAGCATATCCTGGATACGACCAGGCAAGACTGCCCGTCGGTCGACATGGACATGAATACCATCAGGGCGAGTGACAACACCGAAACCTGGTGCCGCCTGTCCGCCAATGGCTTGCATAATGGCATTCATGAAACTGATGGGGCTATCCATGGCGACAACCCGACCACCTGCAGGGTCCTGGCCCCAATCGGCGAAAGGATCAGCAGCAGCCCGAGGTGGAACAGCAGGGTCTGGGCGGTCAGTGCGGACAAGAAGAGGATTAATGCCATCGTCGTTGCCGCGGGAAGGGATTTGGGTTCGGTGGACGCGGTGGTAAGGCTGGATGGGAACAAGACCGGATGGGCGACCCGGCATGATTTCAGTGACGGTAGCCCAGGCCGGTGGTGGGCCTCCGCGGAAGCGGGATTGGGGATGTCCTCGGGCCGTTGAAGGTTCATCGCCTTCCCATCCCCATGGCTCAAGAAGATCATCGTCTTCTTAAGGGATTTAGCAATGATGCGAGAGAATCATTGGGAGCGTTGAACTCACCTTCCATATCTCCATAAGATCCTTGTTCTTCGTCGAAGTCATCCATGTCTTCGTCAAGTTCATCCATTTCGTCTTCGTCTTCAACTGGACCAAGTGTCAGCAAGGCTGATGCAAGATTCAGCAGTATAAGAGGGACAAACCATCTTCATCGAGGTCATCAATTTCTTCGTGGATGTCACCACCTAGGCCATCTCCATGGACATCATCGACACCAGAACCATTGAGGGCACGGAATAGGTCGCCAAGGTGTCGGTCTTCACCTTGATGTCGGGTGGATTGTCTGATGTCGGCCATTTCATCTTCGAATTGGTTCATCATCTCGACTTCCTCTTCGTCTTCGGTCATTTCTTCACTTTCCCATTCGTCCTCGTCGCCATCTTCGAGGCTTTCGTTGTCTCGGTCACCACCGATTTCTCCGTCATACATGTCATCATGCATGTCCGAATGGTCATGATCTTCATCGTCATCATCCTCGTCTTCGTCATCATCTTCGTCGAGGATGACTTCGACTGCATCTCCGGAAAGACCTTCGATTGGACCCATGCCATCATCATCTTCGTCACTGACGACTTCACCATCATCTTCAGCGACATCCTCGTCGTAGTCCATCTCCTCGTCATATTCATCGTCGTACATCTCATCATCCTCACCCTCCGATTCTTCGGTGCTGCTCTCTTCCTCGTCATGACGAGGTTCTAGCATGCCAAGAGTAGAGTGGCGGAAGAGGTCAGGTGTTTCTTCACGTTCATCTTCCATGTCGGAAACGGAAGTTGCTGACGAGATATCATCGTCCTCATTATCACCTTGGATAGTGATGTCAGAGTTCTCGCTGAGAAGTACGGCAGTCTGGGTAAGTTTATTCAATGGACGAAGAATATACTTGATGACACGTCTGGAGGATGGGAAATTTAAGTCGACGTCGGCGACTGATGAAGTGAGCGCGGGGATAAAATTCTTCTCGAACATGGTCTTCGCGAGCTGCCTGGTTGAAGTTGGGAAGCCCGCGTCGTTGGTAAAGGAGTACCCGCTGAGCATTTTATCGAAGAGGTCAGCAAGAGACATGAGCTTGGAATACTTAGCATTTAGGGGTTCGGTAGAGGCCATAGCATCTTTGTAGGACCGGAGAGCATGCTCCAGCACAAAACGGCGGACAAAAGCAAGCTCAGGCTCATCCTCCTCATACTTTGGATCAGTACGACGCCTACCAACACCGCCAAATTCGCCGGTCTTGGTGCAAAGCGCAACAAGGACTTGCATAGTCCATGTGGAGGTGATGCTGCGCTTTTTGAATGCCAAAGACTCATCATGCTCCATGGTACCGAGTGGGACAAGCACGTTCAACATATAGTTCAGGACACCAGAGCGCGGTTTGGAGGGCGTAGTGGCCAGAGGATCAGCCTTGCGGGAAAAGTTGATGAACTCGACCTTAGTCCGGTTGTAAGAGCAAAGAAGTTCCGTCAAGCACTGAAGGAGCAAGCAGCGGTAGATGTAAATGGGATGGTCATCTGCCTTGAATTGTGGCTTCTCTGCCTTCTTGAACCCGCGAGATGCTTGTGCTTCGGCAGTGCTCGAAATTGAAGGTGTTGGCTCGTCCACGGCCATCTCAACGTCAGTTTGAGTATCAGATTGGTCAGCTGCATGCTCTGGGAATTCAGGAGCGGCTTCTTTGTCGTCCACATCCTTGTAGGATAGAAGCTCCGAAAGCAGGTAATGAATAACACCATCAGGTTTCTCCACAATTGGGGCTTTGAGTTCGGCACCCTTGGTTGGGGCCTTGCCCTTGTCCTCCTTGCCCTTGTCGGTGTCTTCGGGGGCAGATGCTTCGCCTGCTGCAGATGATTCTGGCTCGTGTTCTTCGAGAAGGATACTGGGCCTCCCTCGCTTTTGCTGCCGATCTTTGTCGGCTTTCAATCCAAGAACCTGTGGACGCTGGTTGTCATATCGGAGCAACCGCAGCTTTTCATTTGTAACCTCCACAAAGATATCAGGAGCTCTCAGCACGAGGTGATGCATCTGTCGCACATAGCCGCTCACGTCGATCTGACGGGTATTCTTGGACTCAAAGTTGGCAACAATTTCGCTCCTCATGATCTGCCGGATAGTAGCTTCATCCTCAACGATGTGACGAAGGATCAACATAAATGCGCTTTGGAGTTTATCATTTGTTGCACTAGAAAGTTGCTTAACCATCACAAACAAGCGCTGAAGGTTTCGCTTTTCGCCAAAGCGGGCGGCAATGCTACGCTGGCGGGTGAGAATGACAAGGACACGGCAAATGGAGAGTGCCAGTGTATCATCCTTGCCCACTCGGGGTAGGATCTCAACAAGAGCTTCAAATAGCTGGGTCTTTTTCTCGAGGGAGACAAGGGGCTCTTCAAGACGGGCTGGTTCATCGCCGCTGGGGCTGGGATCATCAACACTCGGCGGGATCCAGTCGATCTTGGGAGGCCGACAATCACTAGACAACAACTTCTCGAGAATGAGCAGGACATGTCCAACCCAAGGGAAGGTTTCCTGATCGGCCTTCTCGGGTGTTGGGAGCTTGATAAATCCAAGGAAAGTCGAGAAGCAATCTTTGAGCTCTTCAAGAGTGGCGCGGTACATATCGCGATCTTGAAGGGTCAGCGCGAGAATGTGTGCATAGGCCGCAATCTTTTTGCCAGCTGTCTGGAAGTTCTCCATCTGCAGGGAGACTAGGGATTGAACGAGGGTCTCTCCAATGTCTCGACGGAAGTTGACAGGCTCGCTATGCTTCTTGATAGCTGAAGTTATCAAGTCAGACAGCTCGAAAGAGACATCATGGTGTTCGTTTAGAATGTCCAAAGCCCGATCGATCAGGTTTGACCGAATGTTTTGCCTCTCTGCATCCAGATCTTCGATTGTGACCATGTGGCGACGTCTGGCCGGTTCTCCCTGGGAGGCCCCGCTAGGTTCGGAGGAGCTTGTCCCGATATTACGACTCTCGGAACGATGCTGGTTCGATGATTCCCCTCGGTCATCGCTATCCACGTCATCATTGTCGTTGAGAACATTGTCTAGGGCTCTAGCCAACCCGTCGTGCATGTCGGAGTCAAGATCGCCTCCGGGGAAAGGAGAACGTTGCAATCCCTCACCTCGGGCTGCTCGAGCCAGAAGCATTTGGAGTGTCGCAGCGCTGTCTATCGGATTGGTGCTATTGAAAGGTTGAACATCTCCAAGACCAGGGTCCTCGAGGGAGTCAATGCCAGAAGCAGACTCGGGTACTCCGGTTTTGATATCGCCGGGACCCGGGGGGACTCTGGGAGGGGTTCGTAGCCACCGCTGCGCCTTGCAGTATTCCTCGGCTGCCATCAAAAGATTGTTGCAACGATAAAGGGCTTCTTTGTTAAGATCAACATCCATGTACCCTTTTCCGATCAGGGCATTTGCTCGTTCCGTGTGAACAACGAATGGTTTCTTGGGCATCTCTACCAAGATGGGCATGGTATCTGCTTTACGAGCCGCGCCAGTCTCGTATTCACCATCCAAGGAGGACCGCATGATATCAATCAGCAATCGGACAATTGGACTCGATGATTGGGTCGCAAAGTCCGAGTTCCACATATCTTTGGCCATGGGCAAAATCTCCATGCGAAGTTCCACCAAGAGTTGGCCCGGCTGGAAGTAATCGGGACGGTCTCGGTCCCGTTCAGGGTGAGAAGTCAAGGCTTGTGTCTGGCTAGAGTCCACGATGAATTTCCCAGCAGTGAGGTCTGCGAACAGTCCAAGGATGATCTTAATTCCGCCGTACCCAGATGCAAGCCGGTCAGCAAGCTCTTTGTCCTGGTCGGGAATGGACTCCGCAGATGGAAGGGACTTGATGTCGCCCAAGAAAACGTCACAGATATCCTTCAACACTTTGAGTCCGTTGTTTTTATTGAATGAAACGAGAACTGAAGTCAAGTAGTTCGGAGTGGGACGCTCTGCTGAGACTTCATAGAGAAGGTGCGAGAAGTGAGAAAGAATGACAATGAGATATGCGAACCGGTGCTTGGCGCTATCACTCGAATTGGCAGGGTCGAACTGCAGTTGGCGAAGAATACCTTCAGCAATGGCGTCTGAGACTAGGATAGCATTCGCCTTCTGTTTCTGAAGCGGATCTGTGCGTCTTTTGCCGATAATACCGAGTCCGAGGTTATGCAAGAAACCCGTAATCGAGGTTGGCAGAGCGCTTAGAAGGTAGCGAAGTGTACGGGCATTCTTGAAAGCAGGACACTGTTCATCGACTTCGGTGTCTTCTTCTCTCGAGATCTGGCCCGGTTGAGCCGGAGCAGTTTCTGGTGCACCAATGCTCTGCAGTTGAGGTTCGGCGCCAGACGTTGCTGAAGACTCATGGGGGTTCCCAGTAACTGGAGCAGCCTTTGACTTTTCAGAGCCAAGCTTTTCAGCAGAGGCCTGTGTGGCTTTCAGCCACTTCTCAGGGATGTTCTTCTCCAGCAAAATCCCTTCCCACACGCAAGAAGCAAGAAGGTTGCTCAATGAGGAGATCAGGGAACAGTAATGGTCCGCAAGGTTGGCTTGGCCAAAGATGGAGGTAGGTTGACCAGGTCGAGTTTGGTACAGTGGCGACGCGAAAACCTCGCGTAGGACGTCGGTGAGGAGAAGAACGGCATTCAAGTGTCTCACGAAAAATGTGCCAGATTTAGCAGCAGCTGTAGGCTCCCCAGCCGGTTTTTTGGAGTCTGCTGGTTTAATCAATTCTGTGAAGAATCCTGACCCAGTGGGCGCAGTCCAAAAGGCCGAAAGATTGTCCACTGCTGCCTGTGCGCGTCGAAGGAGAGACGGGAGCACAAGGTGAGGCTTGGTCTCCGCGAGCATGTGAATGAGCACGGTGATCTCTTGGTTGGCGTTGGTGTTGTGGAAATCAAATGCCAAGCTTTGGAGTGTGGCAAGATCCAACAAGAACTCTGTGCCGCCGGCCAGGATGAAGGATGTGCAGTTCGTCTGGTTCTCGAAGAAAGCGCCCAGGAATCGCAAAGCTGGGAACAGGTAGTCCGTAGCCGAGAGACCATGGGCATCCTTCTCTTTAGGCTCGAAGTCGGGGCCCGGCGAAGGAAGAACATGATCCAGATGGCCAACGACAAGCTTAACGCCGCCAGGAAGAGTGCTCGCGTTGAGCTGGGGCGCACCAAACGAGGCAGGGTCGTCTGTGGGTGCATCAACCGCTGTGCCGATTTCTCGGAACAATGAAAAGACATCTCCTAAAAGAGTCGTTTTGCCGTCCGAGTCTTGAGTCCACATCTTTGTGCCCATACCTAGCTCCCATGCCTTGACTCGCCCCAGAATGTTGACACGAGCAGCCATTACAAGAACGGCAGACATAATAGAGGTTTTCAATGCCGGGTGGTGTCGGACAAGCTCATCAAAGGTCGTGCCCAACGAACGAACCAGTTCTGGGTCATCCTTCAGGCACTTGACATGCTCAGGGTTCTCGAAGATCTCGAAGAAGCTTTCAAGTGCGTCGGAGGACTGGAAGAGGTCCAAACCAGAGGAGTTCAAGCAGATGGCTCCGAACGCACCAGGAATACAAGCAAGAGCATCGGCTGCGGGCATTATGCCAGGTGCAAGAGGGGTATTCTGGGGTCTGACGATAGGATACTCGCGATCTTTCTGCTTTTCCTCAGACTGTCTAGCGGCTTCAGCGCTGGGTGGTTGAGTGGCGGCGGGTTCGGCCTCAGTCTCGGCTTCAGTCTCGCGTTCTTCCGGCTCCACAGCCGGCGGCTTCTCCAGCACGTGGAGTTCACGGCCCATGACGGCAGCGAGAAGGCTCCTGCTGAGGCCAGCCTCGGCGATGACAGCATAACTAGTAGGCTCGTTGTGAATGAAGCTGCTGAGAATGTTGACAGCATTGCTCCATACATGTGAACCGAACACCCGAGCATTCTCGAATACAAGGCGAAGAGAAGTCAACAGCTGAGGCGAATCAATCAAGTTTCGCAGAACACGATCGAAGCCTCCGCCATTGTGCTGCATGATGTGGTTCACGAAACGGAACATCCAGCGCAGGGTCTGCTGTTGAAAGTAAGGAATCTGATAGTCAATCGAAGGGTTCTTGTATTGAGCAGGGAAACCATCCCCGCGATTGACCTTCTCGAATGCGGTCTTGGTTTCGTGGTCAATCAAATCAGACATGGCGTCAAAGCCCCTTGCTGTTGTCAGTGTACCCAGTGCATCACGGACCGCATGCACAAATGTGTCAAGGAACTCCATGATGCGGGAATAGACTCGGCGGGACTTTTCAGTCCGCAGATTCAAAATGTCAACAAACATGGGAATCAGACCCGCTGCAACCAGGGTCTCCGGTGTACGTGTGCTGGAGCTTGGGAGAGTGCGTAGGAGTGCAAGCAAAGCATCTCGCCACTCATCATAGTAGGCATCATCCGGGTCGTTGTTCTCAGGGCCTAGTTCATTGACCATTTTACGGGTCAAGAACATGAGAATTCCATGGTTGACATTGACGCTCAAAGCTGCACAGACATCAACTGCACGAGACTTGTGCTTGGCCAACGCATCCAGTGCCTGGATCGCCAAAGTTTGGACAGACCGGGAGACCTCGAGGTCACCACTGGCACCGAGATGAACGACTTCAGCAAGCTGGTAAGCAAGTTGAAGACGCTTGGGTTGTTCCAGATCGAATTGAAGAACCTTTGACTGGAAGGTACTCTCCGGCTGGACATGGGCCAGGTTGGTTACTGCCAGTGCCTTGATGGAAAGGATCTGTTCTCGCGTGGCACGGGACGTTGTCAACGCCTTGGCGACTCGGAGCTTTTGAAGCAACTCATATTTTGATTCAAGTGGCAGATGAGGCAAGTTGGCCGCAAGAAGATCTTCCACTTTTGCAGTTGAAACTTTTGAATAGGGAAGCTCTAGGATTTTGCCTCGCGTGGCCTCTTCCGCCTTTCCACCGGGAACAGCTGGTGATTCATCTCCATTTGAGCCCTGATTGGAATGAGTGGGGTGTGTGGCACTGCGTCGCAATGGGGTTGGCGTGGTCGGAACGTGCGAGCCCTGCTCTGTTTGGCCAAATTCGGAGGTCATTCTGGCCTGTTCGGAGCCCGAGGGATAGTAGAGAACTCGGGCATCTCCCCATTCCTCCCAGCCATCGTCGTCACGCACAAGGGAAACCAGTTCGTTAGCGTTGACTTTTGTCTGGGCTGTATTTTCCTTCCCCTTGGTTAAAATGGCAGGGGATGCGGCAAATGGTGTTTTACTAGCGATGACTGGACGCGGGAAAGGTGCTGCAATCTTCTGCAACTTTTCGAGGTCAAGAGCATAGTGGGACTGCAATACGGACTGTTGATGGGTGCCACGCTGGCGAGAGTGGTATCGTTGAGCTAAGCAAAGAGACAGCCGCAATGTAGATTGTAGGAGAGAGAGTGAGGTGGTATTCAACAGGTCACCCAGGCGATCACTGCTGCTGTACAGGCTGCGGTTCCCACATTTCTCAAGCAAAAGACGAGAGAAATCAAGAACTGCTTCCACAAGCTCTCTATCTCCTTCAGGACCGTATCCTAGGGCATTTAGTTTTGCATCAACACCCTCTGCTGGCTTCTTGCTCTCATCGGCCGAGTATGATTCCTCCAGAACACTTCGGGTGAACAGTTGCGTCTGAGGGCCAGTATTCAGGGAGTATTTCTCCACAGCTGAGGCCAGAATCTCGTCGAATCGGTCCAGGACATTGATCCAATGGTAGAGATCACCGCGTGGGAATGGCCATAGCTTAGGGAATGTGCTGAGAAGCGACGGGAGCTCTGGAACGGGAAGACTTGTGGCATGCGCTATGAATTCTTGCAAAAAAGGTGACTGTGATGATAGAAAATTTTTAGTTGGGGTTGCACATCAGGCCGCGGGAGAGTAACTTACGATTGTAGCCTCATGCTTTTGGCTGGCTACCTTCTTAATTCTCCCCATGATAACGATCAGTTGACCAGTCAAACATGAGGGAGTTTAGAGATTCCAGGAGGGCTGTCTCCTAGAGAGGGTGGTGGGAGAAGGTCGTAAAGACCGGTGTCGCGGAGGAAGCGCGAAGATTATGCCTTATGACGTTTTTGGTGCTGCTTTGCTGCCTCAACGAAAATCGAATCAACTCAACGTGATGAACACCTGAGCAAAGTTTCACTGTCAATAGACAGCAAATCAAAGAGATGCTAGATCGAAGTTACCATCCAATCGTGAAGGAACTTGAGTAAGAAAGCTCAAGCCGAGAGCTGAGAGGCGAGATATCGGAAGCTGGTCAAATTAAGGGAAAACGGGTGCAGGTCGTTATCCCTCAAGGTTTGACGTAGAGCTAGTAATATGGATATGTCAAAGGGAAAAGATGACACAGGAGGGGTTGATAGAAGAGAATGAGGGAAAGGACGAGCAACGTGAAGAGAAGCTGGTCTTGCCGGCAGAAGGCAGAAGGGCGGAGCGGCTCTCTGACTGATTCCCCGCTGGGCCTTAGGCATCGACTGTCTTTTCCACTTCCAATCTTTTTAGGCATTATGATGCGACCTTGGAATTGTTGGATTTTATCTTACAGAGAAATACAATGAAGTTATACTTGAGTACATTCTCTCAACTAATTTTTCAAACGAATGTGGGACTTTAGATTAAAAGCCAGCACCAATTTCATTGATGCGCGGGGAGCCACATGTCTGAGAAAACGCATGCAAGCTATACAAACGACCAACCCCCAAACCGTACAGAGATCTCTCAAACGTAATTCACATCCTTTGCAATTCTCAGATATACAGTTTTTACTCCCTCCTGGCAGGCAAATCTCCGTCCCATTGGATTTTCATAGTCATGGGGAACGGAGAGAAGCTACTGTGCTCGGCATCCATATACATGGCGATTCCTCCCAGTCCATTAAGCCGTTTCAGATGGCCTTGGGGCCCGGGGGCGCGACGGACATTATCCAGTCGACCAAGAACTTTGAGCATAGTGGAAAGTGCAAGAGGGCACATTTTAACGCCCAGGCATTCATGAGGGCCGAAGCCAAAGTGGGTGTACAGGCTCATATCACGGTCAAGACGGACCTTGTCGGGATCGGGGAATGCAACAGGATCGCGGCCTGCAACAACCTATATTTCGTACGGTCTATTAATATCTGAATGCCGAGAGGGGGAAGAAAGAAATAGGCCACCAAATAGCTTACCAAGTTGCAAATGATCTCCTGGCCGGCTTTCAAAGTGACCTTCTCACCGTTATCTTCGACCACCGTTGGCTTAGTGGCAAAGCGTGGCAACGCCACCGAGCATCGGAGTCTCGCTCCTTCCATGAAGCTGTATCCAGTTAGTATGGCGCCTTAAATCCTAACTCGGTATGTGAAGAAACTTACTATCGCACAAGAAGCTCGTCAGCCTCAGGAGTGTCCTCCCTAGACAAGCGCTGAATCTCAGCCAGATGCTCCGCCGCTTCTTCGGAAAGGTAGTAGTCGAGGCATTGGGAGAAAAGCTGGCCTTGGTTGGCAACCAATGCACCAGCCGTGGGAAGAATGTGCGACCACACAACGTCCTTAACCGGCAGCTGGCTGTCGAGTAAGCGTTGGATCATGTGGACGCCATATTCACTCAAGATGTCATGGCGGTGTAGGCGGTTGACCAGGTTGGAAATAAATCCAGTCTTAGCGACTAGTTCAACGTTGGCTAGCGTCAACTCGCCCAGCTGCTGTGCAACGTTGCGAGCAGTCTGGCAAAGTTGGAGAGACTTGGACACGTCAACATCGTAGAAAATAGAAGCGAAGATGACGGCCAAAATCTGGTACAATTCCTGCTCGCTGAACACGCCTCTTGGGTTTGACTCTGTCTTGAGTGATAGGGAGAAAACATTGGCGCAGAAGTGAACTTGAGCTAGAACAGCAACATCACGGACGATGTCGACCTGATTGACGCCAGCAACCTCGAAGGAGTTTCGCTCGAGGAGTTTCAGAGTAATGTCCTCATAGAAGGCCTTCACTTCTGATTCCCACTTATCACGGTGCAGAGCAGCACCGATCATCTTTCGAGAAGCTGCGTTGGCTGGGAGATCACCCGACAAGGCGAAGTCTCGCCCATAAGGGCGGCCGCTATTCTCCATCAAAAATTGGATCTTCTCACCCCACACTACCTTGAATCCTTCTTGGTCTTTCAAGATTTTCGTGCAAGCAGAGTGGGAGTTGATGAAGAGGGGCGCGGCTTTATAAAATGGTCGGTCAAAGCTATAGGTTTTAACATTACCAAGGCTGGTCAGGATCTTCTTATTCTCATCGGGCACAACAAGTGGGAAGTGTGCATAAACCGAGTCGCCGCGGAAATGATTGGGAAACGCCTTCAGGATCAGTTTGTAGATGACATGACCGCCGTCAACCGAGACGTCATGGTTGATCTCATTGAATGCCCAGTTTGTGAGGTGTTTCGGTGTGAAGTCGACAGTATAGAAGCGATCTCCACGAACCAAAGCAACTGCGTCTGAAAGAATGGCCCTCGAGGTGGTGAAATTGGTGCATAGACCACTACCCGGGGTCATAGACTGTTTGGCCTCTTCGACCACGAGGCCAGGGTACAACTCAACAAGGTCGGGATGGTCATAGAAATGTTTAAGCTGGTTCGCGACGTATGGGTCTGAGTTGATCTCCTCGAAGGTTTGATAAGAGGCCAAACCAAAGTACTGGCGGAATTCATTTAAGGTAGCCAAATTCCAAGAGCGTGCCTGCTTGATGCCGAGAACCTCGATGCTTCTGAAGACATCCGGCACATTCAAAGCACCGAAAGCTCCGGCAGGATCCTCCACGCTCTCCTCAAAGATCTTGACTAAATCACTATCGTCGAACTTCCCGTCTGCCTGGCGTTGTAATTTGGCGAAAGGACGTTCTTGGGGATCTGCTGGGAGTTTCGATTCCCACTGGCGAAGGCCCCCTGTGAATTGCTGCATGCTAATCTCCTTCGGATCCTTCCCGTCAAATAGCTCTTTATACAGATCCTCTGACCATTTCTCGTCCCGCGACGAGACACAAGAATGCCAGCGGTAAACAAGATTGAACTCGGCAGATACTTGGTTTCCGGTAGCCTGGGCAGGTGCCTCGCCAAGCAAGCCATCCTTGATATCCGCACGGGGATCCAAACTCCACAAACTGTCAGTTCGGTTGACGTTGAGAATGGTCCGGACATAGTCCTTCAGAATGATGTTAACATAAAGGCCACAAGTGACCAGTCTTGCGGTCTGGAAGAGGTCGTTATCCCAGGTGGCATAAGCTTCGGCATTCGACTCATCCGGTTTCGTGAAACGGCCACCTTCATTTATAGCTGCCAATTGGGTCACAACGGAGTTGTGGAAGCGGTTGAACATGATGAGAAGGACACCAACGCCTGGGGGAAATCCCAAAACCCGCTTGGTGGAAAAGCAGTCAGCTTTCAACTTTCCCTCCTTGAATGTTCTGACTGTATCCTGTTCTTTCTGGTTGTTACCATAAAGCGGAGACAAGTCCAAGTACGAGGATGTCAACGATTTTGTTTGGTCCCTGGGATCAGTCTGGAACAAGTCTGATGTCTGTTAGCCTCGGTGATTCTGCCGTCTCTTATCCCAGAGATCTCAACCAAGAGACAATAACCTACCGTGGATGATAATAGAGGCAAGATGGAATAGCACGCTAGAAATCTTGTTGGGGTGTTCCTTGAAATCCTTCCGGGCCAGAAGACTATCGAAAAGAGCCTCAGGTTCGGGAAGAGCTACAGGCTGCATTGTCTTCGGCCGAACAGAACGTGCGTATGGAGTGTTAGCAGCACCAATCTGAGGCCAGAAAGTGTTCTACGGCTGTTTAGCAGAGTTTCTCAACCTAGAATGGGAAACGACTCATACGTTTCCAGATCCATCAGCTTTCCTGTATGCCGCATCGCGTCCAAGATAGCTGCATTACGACTCAGTTACTGGACGTTTCCCACACAGATCCAAGTCGCTTTGCATGACTCACGATATAGGCGGGTGCTCCAGATCACCCCACAACTGGGCGAGGAAGGTATTGGTCAGCTCCTTGCCATTTCGAGATGTCGAAGGCAAGCCGGCAGCAAGCTGTAGGAGAGTTAGAGTGTGAACCTAGCCAATTCCTTTCGGAAACACAAACCTGAATCACGCGCTCCATGATATAGTCTCTGTCATTCACAGCCTCACCAGTCACGGCAGTCTTGGCCATATCCGCCAAAGTTTTGGCATCTTTCAGGTCAAAATGGAGCAGATCCTTAGCAAGGCCAGTCAGAGCTGGCTCTTGTATGTAGCTGCCATCGCCAGTTTGAGTGGGCAAGGGCCGCAAGGCTGCAGCCACAACTTGCTCGAGCTGAGCAATCTTGCTGCTGGAATTGGACTCTTTCTCAGTCATGGTGAATTGAGATGATATGATACAATAGAATAGTACAGAAGAGACTCGGGTGCGGACTGTGATTAATCTGTTAACTTCAATGCCATAGATACCAGCGGAGTGGTATTCTGACTAAGGGCTTTGGAAGACCTTGAGGGGGGCCACAGTGCAAGCTAGAAATCGAACAAGAACAATGTAGCGTTCAGTCGCTTACCGGTATATGTTAAGCACGGTTAGGTGGGGTGAAGTTCGAGGCAATAAGATGGACAGCCTAGGAACACCAGTATATAGGGGAGCAGCAAAAGAGCAATAGAACAATCACAAGGTAGTTAGGAAAAGAAGAAGTGAACCATCATGCGATCATTTCGGCGGAAATGGGATAGGATATCATTATAAGCCTCCCATGGGAATCACGGAGTAAGCCGAGGGGCCATCAGCCGAGCAAAGCGTACGGCTGAATGCACACTCTTCTAGTCCAGCCGCGCCCCCATTCATTATTCTCAGCACAAGGTGGACCTGAGTGAATAGGAACGCCCCACTGGCTGCTATGAGCAATCAGATATCTCTGATTCGTGCATGCTATACGGGGTATCCCCTGTCGTTCAAGTCTTACGGCATTTTGGCCTACCGAGTAGCCACTTATCAGATGGCTGGCGGACAACCCCGGAATATGACTGCCTAGTTAAAACTGATAGAAATGAGCTATATTAGCATACTCAATGGTTCAATTTAGTAGTCTCGCAAGAAGATGTGGGCAAACCGCAACATTGTGATTGGAGCAATGACAGCGGCTGAATGGGTCCGAAGATCTGCGAAATACTGTTTTCGAGGAAATAATAATTACAGTAATACCAATTGCAGGTAGAAATCCCCAATGCACTTCGAGGTTTGTTTCGGTTGAGGCATTGATTGGCGATGCTGTTCGGCCAAACTAATCGTGCGAAATGGAGCCGAGACCTGCACGGGGCGATATCAGCCGTTTCTGATTTGACCTCATCCATTTAATATCACATTAGCTTGTTTTTCTCAGCTCCCACAAAACCCGACACTCACCTACAACTTTTGTGCCCCGCTATAGTGCATATTGGGCCTCGTTAGCTCCCGAGGAAGGGTCGTTTCAGCTGACAGGCCAGATGACTTGGGAAGCTACGGAGTAAATATATAACCTTGTTTGTCCCAGTGAATTATAGCATTCAAAGTGGCCTTCTGAGGATATACTGTTTTGAACAGAATGCGTCATTGGCGGACAGGCCAGGTCGCGTACAGAAGACAAAGATCGTCCGGTACAACAGGCATAGCCACGCACTGGATCGCCAAGACCCAATAGATTGTACACATACCTAGTTAGGTAGTATTTCCTACGAAGCCCTTGTTCTCAGTAAGCTGCCAAGGCAACCTATGTTGGAAGGCCACCTCAGGAAAGGCAATTGGCCACCCACCAAATATGGAAATATTTGGAATTGGGTATTTGGCCTCAGGTGTCAACACGTGATACCAACCGAGGCTCAACTTGTAGATTGTTGGGACTGCACTTTTTTTTAGCCAAGTCTCAATTTCAAGTTGTCTTGGTGGTTCCAAATAAGCTCCGTCGTTTAAGCATTATATCTGCTTGAGCTAAGTTATCATCATGGCGGCTGACAAAATCACCCTCGTCGTTCAGCCAAGGGGTATGCATAGATAGCTCTTGTTTACCCAAAGCTCTCAGCAAGACCACGGAGATAGTAGCCTGAAAGCATCGCTAATCTAAAAGCAGGCAAACCCATTCGGAAGCTACCCAAGGAAATTGAGATCCCTCTCAATTCCTCCAGTGAAGAATTGCACACTGCGCTCTCCGCAGCCTCCGGTTGCTCACTCCACCGGATGAGAATCACCAAGGGTAGCGATCACAGCGTGGTCCCGAACTCGATCAATACGACGATCGAGGACACTGGCCTGCGAAACTCAAGCGTGATCTACGTCAAGGATCTCGGTGCGTGTCTATACCCCATATCATGGACAATGCGAATGCAACCCCTACCAGCGCACTATTCCAAAATAACCGACAGAAACTAACATATAGTTCTTAACCGAATAGGACCCCAAATTGCCTGGCGTACCGTTTTTATCATCGAATATCTCGGCCCACTCCTGATCCCCGCGCTCTTCCTCTTCCCACTCCGACCCTTCCTGTACTTCACCTTCGACAAGCCCCTCCCCTCGCCCTCAGACCTCCAGCTCCTAGTCTGCGCGCTGCTCAGCGTACACTTCCTGAAGCGCGAGTTCGAGACAATCTTCGTGCACCGTTTCAGCAGCGCCACCATGCCCGCCCGCAACATTGTCAAGAACAGCGCCCACTACTGGGTTCTGGCTGGTTTCAACATCGCCTACTGGGTGTTCCGCCCGGACGCGGCCGCTGCCTCGAGTACCCCCAACCAGGCTCTTGTGTATGCCGGACTGGTGCTGTTTGTCTTCGGTGAGCTGGCGAACTTGAATGCGCACTACATCCTGCGTAATCTCCGCCGGCCTGGTACTACTGAGCGAGGCATTCCGTCTGGATTCGGTTTCAGTGTCGTTACCTGCCCCAACTACTTCTTTGAGATCCTGGCTTGGTTGGGTATTTTCCTGGTCAGCCAGTTGAATTGGAGTGTGCTGTTCTTCGTTCTTGTTGGTGGGTTGCAGATGTGGAGCTGGGGTTGGAAGAAGGAGAAACGCTACCGCAAGGAGTTCGGTGACAAGTATAAGAAGAAGCGCGCTGTCATCTTCCCTGGCCTTGCCTAAGAAGTTGGCGGAATGGTCAAGTCCAGGCTTGTATTGGCGATCCAATATGCTATGGCCATGGGCTGGGTGATTGGGTGAGTGGGGAAGAGGGAGAAAGCTGATGCCTTTGTTTGACGGCTTGAGAGACGTTTCAAGCAGCTTATCGATCAACCCTAGTTGTTATGATAAACGGTATGCGCTAATTACTGATATCATGAGCGGATGTGTATCATTTTGGTATTGGACATAGTAAAAATTGAATAATTATTGTGTCCCTTTTGCAGCTATGCATACATATTGAAAGCAAAAATATGTTGAGGTCTGCCGACCAAACACTGACCAACCCTAGAACATTGTATCCGTGAACAGAAAGAAAAATCCCAAGCAAAACGCCATTGCCCCCCCACGTAGAACCAGTGGACTCCTAAATGCAAGCCTCTTAAAGAACATTTAATCGCTCTGTGTCTTCTTCTCCCATAGCTTATAGTATGGCTCTAGTTCGCGTGCACAGTCCCGGCCCTCCGCATCGTCGCACCCATGGAATTGGATAACGAGGTCACCATCCTTGTATGTACCATCCAAAGAAGCACCCGGAGAATCACTGCTATATGAGCTCAAAATGCGCTGAGGGACCAGGGCGGTCCGAGCAAGGACAGTCGGGTGCCACTGCATAATGTGATCCTAGCAGAATTTCGGTCAGAATCAAGGCTCTCGAAGCTCTATCTATATAAAGATAGAGGAATAGAGTAAAATATTCGTCTTACCAGTCCATGAGTCTCCGCCTTAGCAAAGTTGTAGTTGCGGTAAAGCGGGTCAAACCAGACGTCCAGGAAGAAGCGGGCAAAGTCTCCATTCCTCAAGATAAAGCTGCCGGGATTCAAATCTTCGCTGTCTTGGGTGAGGATAAGGTCCACATTCGTTTCCTTTTGGTGCGCAAATGTCTTGATAATACTATCTGGCGGCACAATGGGCACATCCTTCAACATCAAGTCTTCAAGACGGCCCTTCTCCAGAATGTGAGACTTCAGGGATTTGGTAGGGTTCATGATCAGAGCATTAGTGGCGAGATGAAAGAAATACGCCGATCGAGGATGTGTAGCCATGGCATGGCGGGTAGCTGGTGCAACCGCCCAGCTCATCGGGGCATCGCCAACGGCTTCGTCGTAATCCGACACGCTTGCGAAGAAGTTGGTGTAGCCTGTTCCCACGTGAGGGTTAAATCAAGTTCATTACGAGAGAAGCTCTTCCACACTGTTTTATAGAGGGATTAATTACCATGACGCTTGGCGTAATCCTCCCGGTTGGCAACGATCTTTTTGAGATAGCTCTCGCTGTACAGTTGACGGTCTAGCAGTGTGATGATTACCACACCAGAAGTACCCGCCGGAGAAACAACGGACATGGAGACTGAAGAATAGAGGTAGTGGAGGAGATAAATAATGGATAATATTGCGAATGCCAGGGCAGCGACCGACCTCAACTGTTTCCTGCGATAGGACGGCATTCGAGAGGAACGGGAAAGAGGTAGAGGATGCGGGCTCCGCCGCGGAGGTAACGCGAACTGCATGAAGGCGTGTGCTTGTCCCTATGTGTTATACAATAAGGACAGTGTTTCTGTTTCAATCAAATCATAACAAGAAAGAGGGCAAAGTCCAAGATTGAGCATTGAGGAAAGACAGTTGAAGATCGACGCGGGTGCGAAGATCCCGAGACATGTGGAGTCCGAATGCGGCCCACCTTCTGGCCGCATTCCAACGGGCTTCCATTAGACATCCCGCATCCAGTGGGAATTTATATTTAGGATATTGAAGGTAATCAGAGATAAACCACTTATTGATCGGTTCGATAGTATAAATTTCTTTGGACAAGAGTTCCAAACAAGAAAAAAGACTGATATATTTTATATATCGGCCATAGTGTGTACACATCTGAACACAACACTTTATGCCACACTCCTTTGGTCCTTTCTTACTTTTATTCTAATCGATGTTTAGGTAGGATAAATAAAAATATATGTTACAAGAATTGTCATGTCTATCTAGATGTCTTCTCAAATACCTTCTTAGATGTGTTTTTTCTTATAGACATTTGATCTATGAAACAGTATATGTCCTACAGACAGTACTTATAGACTTCTCAGCGTTATGGCAGTCAACAGCATTGCTTTTACACTTGTCCCCTAGAATGGAGGAGGGTTCAAGTCCAACCCGTCCACTGTTAACCGGAATGCGTCTCTTGAATAACTTCCCGCAACATCCATATCAAGTCGACCTCGCTCACAGTCCTCCAAGTCGATATCAGAAACCACAAGCCCATGTTCGATGCTGGAGCCATCAGCTGTATCGTCCGTGGAGACTTCCCAGATAGGTTCAGCCACAACTTCACCGAAGGGTCCGACGATGCAGGAGCCACCACGCGATATGTAGCGGTCTGGAGCTTCTAAGAGATAATGAGTCATTCGAAAACTAGTAAAACAAACCGAGGGCGACCATATACTACGTACCTTCTGTAGTTTTACCCTGCTGGGTGATCCAGGAAGGCAGTTCATTGTAGCGCACACACTGGTTGCAAGAGAGCACGAAAGTGCGGCCTTCGCCACCAATAGTGCGCATGAGAGGCAACCAAGTGTCACGGCCGTCAGCTGTGGGCGCGAGGTAGATGTTCACATTCTGCGAATAGAGACTTTGACGAAGCAAAGGCATGAAGCTTTCCCAGCAGATAGCGGCGGCAATAGTAAGCTTGACTCCATTGAGCTCCGTAGTGACGGCCTTCAGGGTAGAAGGAGAGCCTTGGGCCCATACAAGACGTTCAGAGCCAGTCTTTCCAACAATTCCAGGTCAGCATTAGTCTGGTCTTCCAATCCCGTTGCATTCGGTATTCAAGTCAAATCGACTACGGTTGACAGCAAAAATAGATGACCATGTACTTACTGGCATGACCTTTCGTCTTTTCCCCAGAACACCCCGCGATGGATCGATATACAGCGCGGAGCAGTACAAGCTCCCCCCGGCCTTTTCAATCAACCCAGTTGCAATAAAGACACCCGTCTCGCGGGACAGCCGCTCGAGGAACTCTCTTGTCCCGTCACCACGGTGGTCTCGACCTTGTGCCACGGGCAGCTTGCGCTCTACCCAGTCATCTCCCGCTCCAGCAGGCGTATCGCCCAGGTCAACAGCAGAACGGAAGTATTCAAGGAATTGGTCCCGGCCATAGGGGGCACGCGCGCCAACAGCAGTTCCAAAGTCACAAGTGCGAGGATACCCGCCTAGATAAGCTTCTGGGAAGAGCAGAAGATGGACATCCTTTGAAGCTGCGTGCTGGGTGGTTTGCTTGAGAGCTGCGAGGGTCAACTCAAGTGTAGACAGAGTGCGGGCTTGCGCCACCGCAACGGTGATTTTCTGGGGCATTATAGTGCAGTCTTCTTTTCTGTAGTGAAATATTTTAAGAGCAAAGTCCGAAAAGTGTCAAAATAACCCCTCTCAGCAGCTGACTCAATTCGGACTCTTTTCGGAGGCTGTAACGTCCGACGGACTTTGGCATGCCGATGAGCTTGCATGGCGATCTCACCAATACTTTCAACTTAGCCTTAGATCTAATTGGTTTGCTACCTATAAACGCACTCAAATGAAGCTAACGATAAAATAACGAAGTCTTTCAGTCTTCATCCTTTTGGGAAATCTCTAGTCACGTGGATCGATGGAGACGAAACGGAACAGTCATCGGACATCTTAGTCCGATACACCCATTGAGCCACCAAATGCCGAGTCCGAATGGAAAGAAACAAAGTAGTTCCGTCTAGAAAGAGGCACAAAGCATTGGCTTGCCGACGGTGTCGATCACGGAAGCAAAAGGTGAGTGTACTCGATTACAGCATTGAATTGCAGACAGACCAACCAAAGCCAGTGTACAGGAAGCAGACCGTGTGATAATTGCACAGCAGCGAATACGGGTAAACGTATAATGATCCAAACACTAAGGAAATCTCGTCTGATTGAATATAGAATGCATTTCAAGTGAGCCGGTGAGCCGAAAGGCTCGTGTCAGTACCGAGTAGGTTGAGTCAACCATGCCGTAAGTGCCCTGCTAACTGCTCTTATAGATACACCCGAGCTCTAGAAGAAAGAATTGTAGACCTCGAGTCTCAAATTTCAGATGAAAGGCCAGGGAATTTCTCTGCCAGCCGGCAAACATCTATGCAGGAATCTCCGCATCAAAGAGGCAATGAAACGGACCATGCTTCTCAGGCTTCTCCTGCGTCAAGGCAACCATACTCTCGCAGTATGCCTCAGGCTAGGGCATCATCAGGCCCTGCTCCTCCACGATATTCAGCCCCTGGTCCATCATTGGCTACATCCCCCCATGCAGTGGAGGGCTTACCGGATACTCATAGCCGATGTGGACACTCCAGCCTGTTGATTGGTATACTAGCTACTCTCACAAGCACCGATTCCTCCGGATTCACTCAAACACAGTCTGAAGGAAATGCTCCCATTTTCTCTCGGTTCACAGAGCAGGTATCACAAGCTGATCGTGTCCCGCGGCTTTCAAATGAGGCATCTGATCGCTTGGTTCAAATATATTTGGAAAGAGTTAACCCACGATATCCCTTTCTTCATCCGGCTACTTTTCTCGGCTGGTATGAATCGTGGAAGTCTCATTCGCAGATTGATAGGGCCAGGCATCAGCAGTCTCTATGGAAGAACTATTTTGTAACCATGGTATGGATAAGATACTCGCTCTTTCGAAGTTATATTAATCTGGGATACATTTTAGGTGCATGCTGTTGCGCTACTTCTAACACCTCGAGTCTCGGTGGATGACATCGCTACTTCTCAAGTATGTGCAGATAAAATACTACATCTACGACCAAAGGGAAAGCTAACAAATTAGTCTTTGTACAACACTGCCATGGAATATCTTGCCCACGTTTTCGCACAACCCGATTCTGTTCTACATGCACAGGCATATCTCTTCCTGACTCTGCATGCACTTCATTCTCCATCATCACAGATGATCGTCACCATTGTCTCTGTAATGATGAGATACTGTGTCATGGCCCAACTTCACTTAGCTGAGAGCGAGCCGCAGGTGACGAATCCCGCGTTTTCCTTAGAGGTCCAAACCCGCCGTAGAGTGTTTTGGTCTGCTTATGCTTTGGATCGATTTATCAGTTGGATTTACCACATCCCCAACAATATAAATGACGAACACATTAGCGTGGAGGTAAGTCATTTCTCAATAACCTGACCTCATGATCTGCACCTGAAAATGGCATTGAACACTAACAATGGTAGCTTTTTTCAAATGTCGGGGACGCGGACCTTCACCACGAAGGATTAGAGGATAGCCGCATTCGAATAGAAACACCGTCGCAGAAGACACACGTCTCGCCGGCTCTTCACCTATTCCGGTGCAGACGTATACAATCCCGGATCATCAGCACCATGATGCGGTCTGATTTTAAAGAAATTGATTCCTCAACGACATGGCGAGAACACATGTTGGGTGAATTGGATTCCTGGAGGTCTCAATTACGGCTATTGAGCGATGTTGCCTCTAAAAGCTACACGAGCGATCGATGGGTTGGCATGGCTTACAACTACACGATCCTCCTGTTACACCAACCAACCAAAGAGAACGTCTGCAATGGCTTTGGTGACCGATCAGTCCCAGCCTGTGTTCAGATTGCTATGACATTTAGGACTTTCCAAAAGGACCGACAGACAGCGCAATTATGGCCTGGGGTATGTGCTGGTAACTCTCTATTCTTCCCCTATCAACTGACCCAGTTCGGCAATCAGCTTTTGAGCCAAGTCGCCGTAGGTATCACCCTTCTATACTGCTTCTGGGCGACTCCACCTCAATATCAAACCATCGCCTACCGGTCGCGAGAAGTCCCAGACGCATTACGCGCCTGCTCAACTGCGCTGGCTATCCTCGCTGAGCGATGGGTTCAAGCTGAACCTTTGCGAGATGTCTTCGATGTTCTAGCCAAGGAAGTCCCACTCTACGGAATGACAGAGGAAGACCCGCCGCCGAAGCGCATCTCGGCGGAGTCTGCTTCATACATCCAATCCCAGATGCCTTTGCTCACGTCGATCATCATGCATCGGGGTGTCTTGCGCATGATACGCGAGATGACCACGGAGGATTTCCCTAGGAGCCTAAATGAGGAATTCCACCACCAACTGCGGGTATCGCACGACCAGACTATGCTTGGGAGTTTGGGTAGTCACGTGTGCTCCGAAGAGTGTCCGTTTTCCCGTGAACCAGCTCATCCTGGGTCGATGGCTGGCGTGAATGCCCAGGCATTTTTTCCACTTGAAAACGGGATTGGCAGCGCTTACAGCGTTGACGACGAGACGCTCATGTTTCCACTCCTCTTTGGCTCGGTGGAATTTTGATTTCTGTGGAGTGCTATATTCTCTTTATATATATTTGTGATAGACTTGGCGTGAAAATGGTTAGATGAAACGTCTTGATAAGTGAAATGAAGTAAGATTGGAGTATAATACACAGAAGACCCAATATGCAAATTTAAAGAGACCGTACCCAAATTAGAAAGCCGTGACCATAATTTCCGCCAGGAGAATCCAGATAGCGGACAAAGATGGCACAAACCTCATGGTGCCCAAAAAACCGTCCATCGCTCTTCAGAATAGTGATACAAGCGCCTGTCCATTCTCCTCGGCACACAAGGTTGTCCAAGCTGCTCTACTGAGCATATGACTGGGTGCGTCGCGGAGATCCGCGAGGCTTGGTCATCGCCTTAATGTCTAGCTTTTCGATTTTGTTCCTGATTTCCAGGCTGTGGTCCCTCATCCATTTGCTCAATGCCGGAGGCTCAGGAACACCGAAGGCCTTGCGTTGCTTTGCAAATTTCTCCTTGATCGCCGGTGTCTGCATAATCTGGTGTCGAAGGTTCCATCCGAAAGGACCGAGCTCCTTGAGGCGCGTTGGCCGATCAGACAGCAAATAGTTGTCTAGGCCCTTGGCTTTATAGATTGATCGCAAGGCGCGACGAGTGACCTTGATATACACCGACTCGCCCAAAGCCTCGCTCTCGATCTTCTTTCGGCGCACGTTCGGCTTCCAGCTTCGTCGTGTCTTGCCTTTGTTACGTCCCTTGGAGATCTTGTTGCCGAATTGGATCGAAGCGCCTCCATAAAGGCCGGTGTCGGCCTGCTTGAACCACTGGGATGGTCCGTAGGGGTAGACTGGGGCGGTTTCCGGTAGTTTCGGGACTGATTGTGTTGCCGGCGTCGTTGAGAAGGATCGCTTCGGTGTGGCGATGGAAAGACTGCGGAAGGCCGAGGCCAAAGAGAAGGGGGCGGTCATTGCAGACCTGGTGCGTAGGCCTGCCATTGTGTTCGACAGGTGTCGGACCCTCGCAGAATGTCGAGAATGCAAAGAGTCGGAAGGTCGTCAATAGGCAACAGGCGGAGGAGAGTCCAACAGGGAAGAATTTGGGGCAGCTCACCGCCCTGGGGTCAGCCTTCTCATTCGATGATCCCTTGCTCGCGAATTTCGGCCAGAAGCATATCTCACAGAGAACCATCGCGTTACCTTTCTTTTCTATCTAGGCTATTTCTTTGCAGCTTTGATTTATTTTTACTTTCTTCTTCTCAATTGATTGACCCATCTCTCGTTAATATCTGTGGCTTTACTCGGCTGCACCTCTTCCAAACATGGTCCAGATCAGTGAAGTGAAGGGTAACTCGCGCGAGAACAGGACCGCAGCGCATACACACATTCGGGGTCTAGGCCTGCGCTCTGATGGGACTCCAGAGAACAATGCCGATGGATTTGTGGGCCAAGGAGCTGCCCGTGAGGTGAGTTGATAGCAACGCTGAATCCACTAGGGTATCTGGTTCGCAGTAATGATAACTAACGGTTCAAACCTCGGGGCAGGCATGTGGTGTTGTGGTGGACTTGATTAAGTCAAAGAAGATGGCTGGACGAGCTGTCCTTCTTGCTGGTGGCCCTGGTACTGGAAAGACTGCTCTGGCTCTCGCTGTATCGCAGGAGCTGGGAACCAAGGTTCCTTTCTGCCCGATTGTTGGCAGCGAAATCTATTCTGCAGAGGTCAAGAAGACCGAAGCATTGATGGAGAACTTCCGGAGAGCTATTGGTATGGACATTAGGGAAAGCGCAACAAGCGTGGAAATCCAAGCTAACCTGTGACAGGCCTCCGTGTTCGCGAAACAAAGGAAGTTTATGAGGGAGAGGTCACAGAGCTTACCCCCGAGGAGGCCGAGAACCCACTGGGTGGATACGGGCGCACAATTAGCCATCTGATCATCGGATTGAAGTCCGCTAAGGGCTCCAAGAAGCTGCGCCTGGACCCTAGCATCTACGAAGCCATCCAGAAGGAGCGTGTCACGGTCGGAGACGTCATCTACATTGAAGCCAACACCGGCTCATGCAAGCGAGTCGGGCGGTCCGATGCCTATGCGACCGAATTCGATCTCGAAGCTGAGGAGTATGTGCCTGTCCCCAAGGGCGAGGTTCACAAGAAGAAGGAGATTGTTCAGGATGTGACTCTTCACGACCTGGATATGGCCAACGCCAGACCCCAGGGCGGACAAGACGTGATGAGTATGATGGGCCAGCTGATGAAGCCCAAGAAGACGGAAATCACGGACAAGTTGCGCCAGGAAATCAACAAGGTTGTCAACCGGTACATTGATCAGGGTGTCGCAGAGTTGGTTCCTGGTGTTCTCTTCATCGATGAGGTATGTAGAGAAGCTTATCCTGTAGATTATTCGACCATGTCTCTAACCAGTTTCTTTAGGTGCACATGCTTGACATTGAGTGCTTCACATATCTGAACCGTGCCCTCGAATCGACCATCTCCCCGATTGTCATCCTCGCCTCCAATCGCGGTCACACTGTTATCCGCGGTACCCACGAAATCAGTGCCGCACACGGTATTCCCCCCGATCTGCTTGCCCGCCTGCTTATCATCCCCACCAACCCCTACACCCCCGAGGAGATCAAGACTATCATCCGGCTGCGCGCCAAGATTGAAGGTCTCAATATCACAGAACCTGCCTTGAACAAGGTCTCGGAGCACGGCAGCAAGGTCAGCTTGCGGTATGCCCTGCAGCTGTTGGCCCCCGCAAGCATTCTATCGCGCGTCAATGGCCGCCCCGGCGCAATTGAGGAGGCTGATATTGCTGAGTGCGAGGACCTCTTCCTGGATGCCAAGCGCAGCGCAATCATTGCGGATCAAGATAGCAAGAATTTCCTGTCATAAATGGCTATGAGGCTCGAGAAAGTTCCATGATCTTGTATACCAAAGGGGTATCTTGGATGTTTATTGAAAAGGCGAATTGTTTTGTGTGGGCCTGGTGTTACGCTAATGCTATGTATTAAATTCTATTTCCAAATTATTGCAACTTCTAGAAGATAAATGGTTGTAGATCTAAAATAGAGTGTATAGATGTCATCTGCCTGTCGCAAATGCAACCCCGACTTAGATAAATCACGTGTGTCTCACCGTCACCCGTTCCTGTTCCAGCGCTTTTAATTTTGGCACCTTTGGTTATTTCAACTATTTTCCCTTTGTGTTCCCTAGTACTTTGGAAAGCCAGTCTACATTGTTCGCAAAGTGAAACCACCCCAACAAGACCCGTTGACCGAACCGCCACTCAGCACTATTGCACAGCGTCACCCGCCCCAGATAAAGGTGGAGCCTACATCAACCACCATTACAGACAGCAGATCTTCACTTCACCTAAGCTGATACACATATCATACAATCGTCATGTCAAACCCACTGGATACAGACGCCGGCTCGGAGATGTTCGCCAGCTACGAAAACGAGTTGAAGCTGGTGCAAGCCGATCTGAACCAGAAGCTGGACCAGATCGCCGAGGCAAGCGGCGAGCAACGGAAATCAGCAATCAGCCACGCAACACAAGTCCTCGAAGAAGCAACAGAATTGGTGAGCCCACTAAGCCCCTCAAGCCGTTCTCATGCCACGATGCGAAAACAACGAAGTGCTGCAAGAACAAGGAAAACTAACCCAATCAATCCCCATCTAGCTCGACCAAATGCGCATGGAAAAGCAGAACATCCCCTCAGCAGCCCGGTCAAAAGTCAACATCCGCTTCCGCAACTACTCAACCGACATCGACGAGGTCAAGCGCAAGCTCAAGTCCCTCTCAGATGACCGGCAAGCACTCTTCGGCGACCGGTACACCGACGAACCGCAGGATGAGCACCTCGAACAGAGACAGCAGTTGCTTTCCGGTACGGACCGGCTAGAGCGCAGCTCAGCGCGGCTGCAGCAGAGTCAGCGCATGGCGCTGCAGACGGAGGATGTTGCCCGCGGCACGCTCGGCACCCTGTATGAGCAGAGGGAGCAGATCACGAATGCTCGGAATAACTTGCAGCAGAGTGAGGGTTATGTCGATACTAGTATCAAGACTTTGAGGGGCATGGCCCGTAGGTACTGACTCCCCTTTTCGTCTCGCTATGATCTAGAAATAGACGTGGTTGCTGACCTCTCCTGTTTTGTTTAGGATGGCTACCAATCGGATGATCACGATTGCTATCATTACGGTTTTGGTTCTTTTGATTTTTGCAGTCATTTACAGCAAGTTCCATTAGCGCTTGGGTTTCGTGCTGGCGTTTGTATACTCGGTCTTATCTTTCATGTCCTTTATTTTCTACTCTTATGTCTACACTAGCAAGGCTATTGTCTCTGTCCCTCTCTCAGTGTCGCATCTTTGCCATTATGTATGACAGCATCCGGCAAGTCTTGATACAGCTAGACCCAAGTCTCTGGTCCAAGCAATCCCGGTCTTTAATACGACGGTTAACAGCCCAAACGAGTCGCAAGTCTTTTATCTCAAAGTACCAAATAGCTTCAATTGGGGGGTATCTCATAACGCCAAATAACAAAAAAAGAGAAAGAGACATATCTCAACACCCTTAGTTCATAATCCTCATTGCCCCAAAGACAGCATTAACAATAACACCCACACAAACAGCAACCCCTTTCCTCCAACTCCAAACCCCCTCCTCCCTACGCAACCACATCGCACAACCAACAGGCCAAAAGAACCCCATAACAGCCCCCCAAAGCATATCATCCATCGCCCCGCGCGATCCAGAGCCAATCCCGCCCTCATCATCCCCAGCCCCAACACCCATGCCACCAAGACCACCCTGAGCCTGCGCCACCGTCGACCCCTCGTCCATCCAGCGGTCCTCAAGATCCCGCAGCTGATTGCCAGTAGGCATAGTATCCGGCGTCCGGGAAACGGACTGCATGGCTAGAAACTGGGAGCGCAGAGCGGTGACCTCAGCCGCTGTAAAGCCCGCCGAGAGGAGGCGGTCGAAGCCGCGGGGTGCGGGTGTGGTGGTAGTTGGCTGGGTTTGGGGTTGGCTCGGTTGCGCAGATGTTGGGAGTAGAGATGAGACATCCTTCGCTGGAGATTTCTTGCCTGCATTGGCTCTCTGTTGCTTCTGTTGCAGAAGGACTGTTGATGATACGCTTGCTTCGTTGGCTAGGTCGGACTCTGAGAGTGCGATGTCGCCGATCGAGCAGTGGATGTAGAGGCGTGGGCGAGTATCGCGCACCGCTTGCTTGCCTTTCCCATTGTCGCCTGGTGTCTCTGGTTGGTCTGCTGCGGGGCGAGGGCTCCGGCTTGGTAATGGCGGGAGCTTTAGTGAGACTGTCAATGGGGTTGTGTCTTCGAGACCCCGGCCGGCGTAGATGAGGCGCAGTCGGTGGGATGATAGGGGCTTTGGGAGTTCGGCTCGGATTAGTTGCTTAACGCCCGCGCCTGTTGTGATCTCGGGCTCTTGGACGTCTAGTTGGAGGTCGGGGATTGAGGCGGAAAAGCGGACGATGATAAGGAGCGGGTCGGTGTCTGGTTCGCCAACTGCGTATGGAGAGAGGAAGGGTGACGCCATATTTTAGGTAGGAGGTAATATTGTGCTCTTATATGAAATGGATTGAGGCCGCTCTATACAAGGAATGACAGGTATGTTTCAAGTTGAAGATGCGGCGCTTACCATTCCGGAGCCTCGCCCGGATCATATCCCGTCAGGTGACATGTGTACTATCGTTTTTCTACAACGCTAGAAGGCTAATAGGAACGAAAGAAAGACAGGACATTGAGGAAGCAGGTTTATGACGAAATCTTATTATCTTTTTTGAGGTAAGTGTGTCACATGTCATCATCAATGTCCTTCGGACTATCTATAACAAAGATATCATGCGGTTGATCTTACTTTAGAAGACTGTCTCCGCAGACAAAAAGGGAATCAACAGTTGATTGGCTGAGCCTCTAGGCTGTCTCTTGACATGGCCCGCCAATTTGTAAGCCCACGGGAACCCACAGTGACCATGAGAGGCAGTAGAATGCAGAAAGAAGAAGGAAAGTGGGTAAAGGTATCGACTGGATATAAAACGTATGTACTCAAACAAAAGCGTAGTCGTGGAATTCCCAAACCCCTTTGAAAACGCCGTCCGATGCATCGAAAAGAAAGACGCCGAGAGGTCCCGAATAAGAAACATATCGAAAGGAATGCTCAAGCTGTACGTTTAAACCATGAAAGATTCGCCGCAGCCACATTCTTCCTCTGTAATTATGAGTCAGTAAATCGAATCTAAGAATATGCAATTTTTGCAGGGGGCACTTACTGATATTAGGGTTGCGGAAAACAAATCGTCTGCTCAGCTTATCCTCTTGCCAGTCCATTTCACTGCCGATAATACTGAAAAGAGCCTTGCTGTCGATTAAGACCTTCACGCCGTCCTGTTCAACTACTTCATCGAATTTTCCTGGCGTCTCCACGTACTCCAGGTGATAGGCGAGACCCGAGCAGCCACGGTTCTTGACACCAACTCGAATGAACTTTGGCTCCGGCTGCGCCATCAATTTGCGAAGCTGCTCGATGGCTACCGGAGACAATTTCATGGCTGCCTTTCTTGCCCGAAGCGGTCGACGGGGCTTCGGGGAAGTCTTGGAAGTAGACGGAGAAGCGAAATTTGACTTTGACTTTTGCGCTTCGCCTTCCCGAAGGCTCACATTGGGCAATGTGCTTTGTGGTGTGTTCTGGTATGATTTCATGTCGGAAGGAGGGAATTCAGCTGAGATGGAAGTGTCGGCGCCGCCGGTACTTCGAGGAGGCGGGAAGGAGGATGGGAGCGAATGAGGACGGTAGGCAGTTGCAGTTTGCATGTCCCGCTTGGAGGATAGGTGTGCATTTCCATATGATGAGAAAGTACGCAGACGCCCTGCCGAGGGCTTTGCCCATCGGAGGAGTGTGGCGGATGATGTCACAGGACGTCGCATGGCGGTAGAGAAGCTCATGATAGAGGAGCAATCAATGTAAAATTGGAGTGAGAACCTCGACGAAAATTACTATTGGCTCATAGGATATTGTGAGAGAAAGATGGTGGGAATGGAGGATTGGTTAACAAAGTAGAGTAAGAAGAATCTCTGACTGTTTTGAGGATTCCCCCGTGGCCCCGAGTTAATTACATAAGGCAGTTGCATGACGCAAATTCAGCCAATCAGCGTCGAGTAATTTCTACACACCACACGGGCAGCAACGGCATTGTGGCGCCATTCGAGGACCTCGGGAGGTGATGGTAATTATAGACTAATCAAAGAAGAGGCTTACTTGACAGATTAGCTGCTCCTCTTTGCCCTATTCAATCTAACTCCCTAGTTAAAATGGTAAAATGACCAACTCCCAACTCAGATCAGAATGATTTCGTCATCCAATGCGTTTTTCGGGAGCTGAGTCATCAATAACCGCGGAGAATTCCGTTCTTCGGACCTGCTCACCCCTCATGAGAATGCCACACCTCCAAATGCAGCTAAAGTGGCGGGGAATAGTAACAAAATGTAGATTATGAGCTGTAGATATCCACCAGTTTAATATACGTATATATTGGAAATTGTTCCTTTTTTTAATATCCCACTGTGTAAACATATTGCCAAGTGCAGAGGACATGTGGCTGGATCCGCTGACAAAGTGGCTGGTGTCCCTTTTTCATGAACATCGAAGCAATTGAATCAACTCGACTTTGAATTGACCTTACTCTTTTGGTTCCCGAGATCCAATGCTGGCGATCTAACCGTTGCAGATCATCCTGTCTAATACCATGGACGCCTCACCCCTTACCCAGCAGAGTAGACCCGAGTCCTTCAAACCTAAGATTGTCCATCTCTATGAGAGTCTCTTCAAAGTACGGACATAAATATGACTTTATGTGATATTGCTAACATACTCCATAGGCGGCAGATGATGCAGACCCCTCGGAGGGCTTTTGGAGAGAACTCTTCTTGCTACCTCCAGACCGGAACCAACTGCATGCTATCTTAGACAATTTGAGCCCAGACGATACAATCGGTCTACAGGTAAGTCGTAATCCAGAAAACGTCCCCAAAATAAAACTCAAACAGCTGATGCAATCACTAGATCCAAATTCGGCGCTTCTTTGTCCGTGCCATTCGCGAGTCAGCAGCTGGAGTCGCCCCGGCGGATTCTTATGCACTAGATGTAAGAAACCCCGTGGTCAATATCCGGGGCATATTCTCTAACCTCATTTCACAGACATTGACTGTTTTCTTGACAAGCATTCTGAGCAAGAAATACACAAACCCAAGCTCGGATGTCATCACTGTTCTTGCAGGACTCGACGAAGTGGACCATGTCATCCCTGACTTCGTGGCCGTCTTGGACAGAATCATTCGCAATGGCAGTAGTTGTAAGTCTTATCTATTTTGCTCTTGACCGAGATTATGGCAGTTGATCCTAATTTTTCTAGTCGATGTGCGACTCAAGGCTATCAAGACGGCTATTGCCATGACCAGCGGAGCATACAAGACGAGCCTGGTCTCCTATCTTACACACAGGGACCTTTTCCCATCGCTTATGAAGGTCTGATTTACTCATATTGCTTTTACGTATGAACATAACTGACAGTTGCCCATAGTATGTTTCTGATTCTGATACTCCGCTGCAAGTGTTCGACCCATTCCTCCTTCTGGGGCTATTGGCCAACTACAACAAGTTTGAATTCCAAAATCCCTACCAGCTTCGACTTGATGATTTTGTCAACGAGTCGAGTATTGAAAAGGTTGCCAAGGGTGTTGGTCTGGCCTGTAATCGTCTACGAAACGGCTACATTGCTGTCCAAGATGATATTCCAGAGGGCTGGAGCTTGACCAACACATTGATTTTCTTTGGACTACGAGCGCTCGCTCCCGGCGCCAGGGACAAAGCGAACCCTCCTTCGGCGGAAGAAGCGAAGGCCATGTTCGCTGATCTGTAAGTTCTCTGTGCGGAGAATCTGTTGATTCGAAACTTACAATCCTGGCAGTCCAGCACAAGAAGCCGCAATTCTAATGGCCACATACGACTTCACAAACGCTAATAAACTCTTTGGTTATCATCTGGTTCATCTGGAACCGGAGAACGAGGAAGAATCGCCTTTCTCGAGCTTCCTCTCATTGTCCTCCTATCTTCTCCAACATGCATATCGATCCCCGCGGGTCGGGCACTATGCCGAACTAAACCTGTTTACACTTCGCATTCTGGTCGAAGACTCAACCATCTGCAAGCAAATTTGCAGCGAAGATGTCAAGCGAAAGGTCCGCATCTGTCGACAGAGACAGCCCTACCTTCCCCTAGTAAGCGGAGACCGGGTCCTAGCAACCGTCATCTTTGATATCGCCGTCGATACTATTACGCATAACCTTCGTCGGCGCCTCGACGTCAACATCTACAGGTATGAGGTTTCTACCATATTCATTACCCATGGCATAACTAACAATCCCCCCAGCCACACAATCGCAATCACCCTCCGCCTACTAGCCTACCTCTCAAAAAACAAGATCCGCCTCACCTACCACTGGTCCGAGCTGTGGCGGACACTGCTCTCACTCATGCGCTTCCTAACAACCTACGCCTCCGACCTAACCAGCAACCCCAAGATCCAAACCCTCACGACCTCCCTCGCAGACCTAATTGCGTTCTGCGTCTCAGGCGGCGACACCTTCCTCCCAGACCCAGCCTCCTACGACGACCTCTTCTACAAGCTCGTCGAAACAGGTCCCATCATCTCCAAATTCCGCGACGCATACTCGTTATCCCGCTCCAATAGCGCAGTAGCAGGCGCCGCAGCCTCCTCCAAACCAGCCGATGCAATCTCCCAAGGCAACGAGCTGAATTCAGCAGCCATAGACACCCTCCAATCTGTGTCTACTCACTTCTACACCCTCCTCTTTCATTCCGAGAGCGCGGACACTGCTGCTGCTACTGTTCCTAGTCCTAAAACTGATGAGCCTGCGCCGGTGGCGTTGCCGTCGATTAGGAAGAAGAATCTTTCCCCGCGTGAGGTCCACCGTATCATTAAGCAGGGCTATGATACGCTGAGTATTCAGCCGCCTGAGGGTTTGAGTGCTTGGGCTAAGTGGCGTGAGGCGGAGTGGAAGAGTGAATTGAAGCGTGCGGCACGGTATGCTGTTGATGATGCAAGGCAACTCGTTGCTTAGGTATCGGGTTGTAGGGTCCTTTCTTTTTTCCGCTTCTATGGATCTGGGATCTTGATCTAGATTCGAGATGGTTGTGGGTGGTGCTGTGGAGAGGTAGTTCACCATGTAGTATTGGTGCTATCATTGAGTTTTCTATTAAGATATCCAGTTATTAAGATATCCAGTTGATAATCCGTCCTTTCTCCCTTCTCAGTGTAAAGTGAAGTCAATATTGCCTTGCTTCCATGATAAGTACCAGGTATAATCACCAAGTAATGTCATAGAGATGTCAGATTTCGATCTCTCAACTATCAGTACAGATCGTGACTCTGCAATCCCACGACTTGAAATACTCTACGTCTTGAAGATTAAGATATAGCTCAGCAAAGTATTCCGTATTCCGGGCCCCCCGCTTCTCGA